TCATGAGATCAGTCTGGGGTGTAGTAAACTGTTTAATGTTTTTGAAAGAAGCATGAATTACCCGTAGCAAATCTGTACAGGTGGAGCTGGGGAAGGTGGAGGGTTTCTGAAAGTGCACTGCACTGCTGCAGTAAATGCTGACCAAGTATTAGAAGATAGAGCAGCAAGCTCATTGGCTACTGATACAGCAGGAACCAATCAGCTGTGCCCTAGAGAATGATGTGATTGCTAGCAGATTGAGTTAAGGATCTATCAGTCTGCAACCTATCAGCATCTAGAGTTTCATGACAGAACTTTGTATTTCTAGATGTTCTACACAAAGAGTACAATTACTTGATTTGTTAATACATAAATATAATGTATAAATTAATACATAATTGCACAAAGCTATCAATACACTTTTAGTATCATTACCCTTTTTATGCGGAAAACCACTGGCATGTTAAGATGTCTTAATCACAGAGGTCTCCGCAATGATCATCATGATGGCAAATTAATAACACTGACTTCCAAAAATCAGAAATGCAACTGGCAGTAGCATAATCCATGACCGCTTTGGGGCCTTTTACAAAGTCTCCCACTCAGTAAAGAGCACCATAGCAACAACATCAGGGTCCATTTGCTTAATGGCTCTGCATTCCACTGGGGAACAAGCTCATTTCCCTAACTACAACAATTCTTTATACAACCGAGTGTGTCTCTAGCCCAAGAGCTTGAAGTTACAGTATGAAGCATGAACATTAAAAACAGCAACAAATCTTCTATACCACAACTCAAGCAAGTCCTTCACTTCAACATCATCACAGATATGTGGTTGCAAGCAATACATCTGCTCATTAAAAACACCATTGCCTAGTATGACAGTTTAAGGGTCATGTTTCAGTGCTCAATTTACTGTTTGGCAATGCTGTGAGAAATTCTTTTGCTTCTGGTTGATTTGGTTTGTGGAATGTGGGTTGGGACCCTTCAAAATAAGAAAACAACAACAACATGCTGCAGGCTTCTTCTTGGGAGTTGTGTTATGAAAAGATACAATCATAGTCAGTATAAAAGAGATTTACACTGGAATTTGTATATGGATATTGGATATATTGGATATGTGACAAACCGAGAGAAAAAAAAAGGAATCTGGGAAGCCAGAGGCTTTATGTTTCATAAAGAAGAGAAAATAAATTCACCTCTTCAAGTTGCACATCTGCTATGAGTGTCATCCACATACATTTATAAAACTTGCACATTATACACATTCTTCTGACTGTTGTCACACTCTCCATTCATTTTATAGTCATTTTTTCTGAATTCTTAAGATGAAGAGTACAAAAGAGAGGGCCACATTATCAAATAGTTTATAAATCAATAACCATAAGAATAGTTTTGATTTAAATAACTAAAACTAGTTTATTGGAATAGACATGTAGATCTTACCATCTCCATTTTAAGTTTTCGGATCTTCTCATCCAGTCCTTTCTTCTCTGTCTCATTATTGTCTGTCTGATGATGAGAGGTCATTTTGTGCTCCTCTCTCATCCACTTCAGGAGACCCTCTGGGGTCTTTCTCCCCACTTTTAACTCCAGATCCTTTAAATCTGGGACTGATTCACAGGTATTGCTCTCCTCCATGATTATACAAAGGATCTACTTAAAAGAAAAGAGGAAAAGGGGAAATAGCTAGGCTATTGCTAGACTATTGCTCTAAAAAAATGCAGCCCCTTAAGTTTTTATTTACACCCACTGATATATACATTATTATACATAAAAACATTATGCAATACCCAGTAATTATTTGTAACCATATGACAGTCATTATATTATTGCTGAAATCCGCTTATGCTTTAAAAAAAAACACGCCACAAGCGTCAACTGAGCTAAATGCATCATCATACGTGAGAGTGACATACCTGATTAATATTCTAAACATTCACACGACTGTTTTCTTTCCCAAACGCAGCCTATATGATCTTCAGTGGGAAAGACAGACCACCTGAGCATGATGCGAGTCTCTCTGAAGATTCGTCGTTTAAATGTATCCGATCTGCTTGCTGTTCAAATCCCTCGGTTGTGCTGATGATGCCATGCCTGTGTTGAGGTAAACTGTGTATGTGATGCTCGGAGATGAAGTCAGGGTTGGACAGAAGCTCTCTTCAAACTGGATGTCTGTCCTGATGTTGCCTGAATCACTCGGTTGGACTGAATTCCACCTGCATGACAGCGAGCGGAGCGCAGAAGTTCACTGCCGTAAATAATGGACTAAACGCGACCGTAAATTCACTCCCACAAGTTAAATTGGAAATAGGCCTGCTCTATACAACAAAGTCCATGTGATACCTAATACCTATATATCAGATGCTATTTTAATTAACCACTACTATAGCTAATAATGATAATAGTAGAAGTAGGCCTAATGTGTAAAAGCAGCTTCACAAAATAATTACAATACTCATTTAATCCAAATATTATTTTAAAGCTAAGTGAAAATGTGTTTTAACTAACTATATTTAAGAAGATCTGTATATGTGATAATTTCTATGAAAATAAATTATATAAATCATGTGATGTGTGCACTAATAACCACACGAAAGCAATCCCAGAGGTGGGCCAGTAAAAATTTTGCTATTTGGGAATGGACTCTTTTCATAGGCTGTGATGACGCGTTTTAACGGTCATCAGCCTCGTAAATCCTGCAAAGTTTTATATAATTTCTTTATTTTTAATTTTTTTATGTTGCCTATGTACATTTTTTAACACACACTTTGTATTATATTACCTTTGCAACAAATTACAAAAAAACTAATGCTGCTGTGAGGGTGTTTCTAATACAGGCCTACAGCGGCTGTGGGAGTGAGGGTAAAATATTAAATCTTTCTCTCTTCTGACTGCCGTTATCAATCTCTCTCTTTTTCACCCTCTTTTTGAAAGTTGTGAAATTGTGTTTTTTCTTTTGCTATTTGAATAAATGGGAACACAAAAAAAATATATTCAATATAGTCTCTCATTCATCGCTAGAAGTTTACCCAATGACGACTTCCGCTTCTGAGAAACCCGGAAATGTGAAAAGGGTCAATTAAGAGACTGAACTGTCCCACAAAAAAGGAAAAACTAACTTGTGCCAAGCAGCGTCTACATTAAATAATATATACGCAGAATTATTATTTTGACGAGATTCTGTTCAGACTGGACCTGTTGAATATCAAGCACCACTGTCTGCTAAACACATCTCAGACTGATATTTAATGTTTCCACTAAAATGCTATTCGTAATCTTGCCAACCGTAAGTCGGCACAGTAAATGGTGAGTTGACACTGTATTTCCATTCCAGTGAAAAAAGTCGTGGTCTGTAACCGCATATTACCACATGGCTGATATTCCCGGTTTGTTTTGTAGTTACATATAGAAAGAAAATAGGCCTACAGATTTATAGACAAGAAGTATGAGTCCTTATTCTGTCTTGTGTCATACTAATGTTCTCTTGGGGCCAGGAGCAAGTCAAGATGACATCATTAAACATCTGCTGGCTGCACGATGAGGATCTCCCCTCTGTTATAGTCATTAGGGACGAAAACAGAACAGGAACGTGAGGAGAATAACCTCTCACACACACAACAGACCCATATTTCCAGTCTGAGGTAACCATAAAAATGTCACTGTTCATCCATGTACTTTAAAATGGGAGCTTAATTGACTGCACTTTGAGGTAGGCTACTCTTGTCATGAGATCGACCTATTGCCAGCCAGATAGTTTATGGAAATATAAAAAATATACAAAAAAATAAGATCTATATGCATATACACTCCTAATATACTTAGCCTATAGGCTATCACTCTGCTTGTGTGGAGTGACTTTTTTGGAGTGATATTTTTCACTGTGATGATGAACAACACTGATACATTTTTTCCCCCAGTCTGCCACTTCATGTCTGGATTACTTGAATGACACAAAAGATTCCTGTGCAGTGTGCATGTCACTGTTGTCTCTATGCATGCATGTACTTTATATTTAGTGAAAGGATTCATTCTAGTGGTCATAATGGAAATTGCACCTAATGAAAATAATGAACTGACTTTTATGTAGAATTGTGTTGCTTGAAAAGATCAAGATAATTGTTTTGTATAACTGTAATATTTTAGAAGATATATAAACGCTTTTAAAAGGCATAGTTTATCCCAACATTTTAATTCTGTCATCATTTACCCAAGGTGACATATTAATAAATAAATCTATAATTGAAAGTATCAATAACTTAATACACAGTTTATGTTTGTCATTAAATAAAGATTTTCCAATCAGACTTTGAAGTATTTATTGATAATGGAATATTTATTATTAATATGGCACCACTCCTGGTCCCCATTTATTTTCATTATATGGGAAAGAGCAGCTAAGCCATTCTGCTGAACTTCTTTTTTTATGTTCAAAGAAGAAAGATAGAAAGGCATACACTTTTAGAACAACATAAGGGTGAGTAAATTATTATCATTGTTGTAGTGTTTGGACCTTAAACCTGTAGTCTTTAGACATTAAAGGGATAGTTCACCAAAAATGAAAATTCGGTCATCATTTACTCACCCTCAAGTTGTTCACTCAAACACAGACCAGGAAGTTGTGAATTAACAATAGCTTTTACACACACTTTTGCTTTTGTTATCATACATGCAGAGGACTGTTTTGCATTTCTATCATATCTGGCAGCATTTAAAATGGTGTTCTTTCTGGCACGATGTTTCGCTGATTCATGGTAAAAGACAATCCCTACATGACACAACACCATGGTGTGTCACTCAAATTCAGAAAGCAGGACTCATTCTTTACACAGTTACTGAAGCAAACGCCCATGTTTTCATTTGAAATGAACACAGTTAATGTAAAAGCTGCAATGTTGGGGTGGAGAAACCTGTTACAGGAAGCAAGAAAGCACATGTTCCACAACTTTCCTTACTCATGTCTCATTTCTCCTCCTCTTTAAACCTGTATTTCCTGTCCCACTAATAAGTTGCTAAGTCTGTCTTAGCCAGGCATCGTCAGTACGTGTGTGGGAGACAATGGAGGACAGCACAGAAGAGGACATTGAGTCTCTGATTGAGGGGATGGCCTACATCCCTGGCCACTTTCATTTGAATCTGAATCTGAATGGTGAACCCAATGGACCAGCCACACTTCGGCACCGAGACACCCAGCTCAAGTGTGAGAGCCTTAGGGCTGAGCTCGAAGCTGAGACGGGACGACTACAGTACGCTGTGCACAATATTCTGGGCCTGCTGGCCTTTCATATGGATGAACTAGAGATGGCAGAAGAGGCCTTTCACAGCATCTGCCAAGAGGATCCAGAAAACCTCAACGCCTGGGCCAACCTGGGTTATGTATACGAACGCCTGGGTCGAGAGCTGGAAGAGGGGGAGTGCATGGAGCGTGTGGCTGCCCTCATGGGGCAAGAGATGGGGGAGAACCAGACAGACTGCAGGCTCAGGGTGGCACGATGCTTGGCTGAACAGGCGTATGTACATCCTCATGACGTGGAGCTGGAGAGGGACGAAGATTTACGGGAGAGACTGACAGCTGCGCTTATGTTATACAACCGTGCACTCGATTACGGAGAGGAACTGGTGAGCACATTACAGTTTCAGGGAGACGTAGATATCTTGTAGGAGAGTCAATATTTTATTTTTAAAAAGTTAATTATTAACTGTAAAATATGTTGCTACAATTAGTTATAACAACTTAAAATTTGAGATGTTAAATATCCAACTAAACTAAAGTTAACTAAACTTAATATTTTAAGTCAAGCGTGAAACATACATCTTTAAGTTGAAACACCACATTATTTCTTATTCTAATGTTGAATTTTAAGTCGTGATAAATAATCACAGCAGTCATTTTTTACAGTGTACATATTGAGTTTTTGGGGAGTCGCACCACATGATATTTTATAACTAAACTTGGCTAAAAAATATATGATATTTTAAGACTTATGGACTTTGACACAGTCATGAGGGTCTGCTTGGGTCCTAATTTTTTGGTCATTTTTACTTAATGCCCCTTCCAAAAAATATCCGAATGAATTTTAATTTAGAAATTAAAATCTTTCTCATCAGAGATGTGTACAATCAATTGTATTTGTAATGTATTTTTTGAAATAATTGTTAGATATAGATAGACAAATATTTGTCATGTCATTGAACATTGTCATTGAATTGATAAAGTATATTTTATCACTTTAGAAAAAAAAAATCCATACAAAATTTGGAAAAGGTACTGGTAATTTTCTGCCAGGGAATTTTCTGTTAACATTTCCTTTAACCCAAAACAAAACACAATACAATGCACAGTTCAAAATACAATGAAAACACCTGTGGAAAAAATCAATGCAGGAATGAACACAGTACATGGAGTGTTTTAGTGTGTAACATTGTTCTGTTGTTTTATTTCTTACAGATCCCAATAGAGGAAAAAAGAAGTTGGTACTTCAAAATGGCAACAATTTACATAAGGTATTTACATAAGTATTTTCGACAACTTCCTGTTTAGCTTCATTTTTAACACATCATCCAACATCTGACTACATATCTAAGCATTTGAGTCAGCTTAGACATTCTGTATCATGAACTTAAACATTAATAGGCTGATCTCAACCTTTGTTTGTTTGTTTTAATAGGTTAGATGGAATTGTGAGGGATTCAAAAGACATTGACCTAACAAGACTGACCTATTTCAACAAGGGCCTCAAGCTTCTCACAGAGACTCTACAATCTGACAACACACATCTCAAAGGTAATTTTCATACATTATATATGATGAAGATTGGATTTATTGGTTTTTTAATAAAGCACACTGATGATACCATTAATCAAGGACAGATTATGGTCCTCAGATTTGTGAGATGCAATGTCCAGATAATGCATTTGCAAATATTAGATATGAATTATATTATTATTAATTAATTTCCACGACTTCGGCAAATGGCTACATTTTATCAATTAGTTCCCTTGTTTTAGATAAATCATGGCCATGTTGTACTAATTTGTTCCCTAATTTGAATTTAGTTGAGCTATGGCCATAATTGAACTAAAACTGCAACAAGGTGTTCAGGAGGCATTGATAATATGGAGGGGCCAAGAACAGAGAATTTTTTTTTTTGTCTATTTCACATTGACAGTACTCACTGGCACACGTTCAAAAGTGCTTTTTGTCCGTCTATGAAATTTTTGCATTTATTTTACTCTCACCTGGCTTGAGGGCCCTGACAACCGGGCACTGGCCCCATTGGCCCAATACATTATCCACCCCTACATAAAAGGAGAAGTAAAAGGTTTCACAGACCAGCCTTTCTAGTTTTATGTTGACACATGTCATGCTTAGCTTTTTATGACTTCTTATCAGCGTCCTGAGCAGATCTCAGATGTCAAGGAATCATTAAGCCAATGTCTTTATATCTCTCTTTACTCTCTAGCCATGGCCTGGTGTTATGTTGGTCTCATGCTGGAGCGGACGGAGGAGTTCTCCACTGTGCCAATGTCAGTCCATGACTGTGGTTTCTCTGGATCTGACCCTTTGACGTGTTATGGATCGGTAGGATGTCAGCCTAGAAAAAATGTAGAATGTTTTATTGTGGTCAAGCTAATCAGATTTCAGTCTTGAGGTTATTTGCACACACTTTCTCTGTATCCACAACATGTCCCATGACGTGTAACTTTGTTGTTTCTTGACACAGGTGTTAGAAAGATGAGTTTAGACTTGTTTGGTTACATAAGCTGAGAAACTGAAAAGCTTAAAATATTTTGTAATTATGCAGTGTAATGGCTCTAAATGATTAGATTTGTTCTCACTGCTGATTTTCACAGGCCATTAAGCTCGCCACAGAGGATGCATTCATACTCAACAGGCTAACGGACGTGTTCTTCCTGTCAGGCAAACTGGAGATGGCCTTAGGCATCTGTAACATGGCACTGAGTGTCCTGCCTGATGCAGAACTCAACTGGCAGGCATACTGTACACGTGCCAAGGTAAGAGAAATATTACCTCCCCCCAACCAACAATTCATTACAATTTTCATATATATTTCTTTGTATTTACATGTGCCTATATAAAAGTACCGCTCATAAACAATGAATACGTTGAATCGGCTGTGTATTTAAAAAAAAAAATGATTACCTCTCCTTGAATCACACCCCAGGATAATCTACAAAAACAAATGCTTCTGGAAAGACAAAGAAAAACCCATTTTGTGACTTAAACATTAAAAGGCAGACTAAAAATGGCAGTTATAATGTTTCCCCAGAAAGTGTTTGGACATTTAAAATGTGTGAATTTCATATCTAAAAACCAATCAAGTTAGACACACTTTATATTCTGTCTTGAATTACTATGTACGTACAGGGTCAACATTGCAAATTGCAATGTTGCAAATTATAGATGTACCGGTAGTTACAGAACTTGATTACAGCTGTAATTTAAAGGTATTTTTTAAATATAAGTACAATGTACAAACATAAATGTACATGATAAGAGCATTGTATCAAATTATTTTAAAGTTAGTAGGTAAAGACACAAGTGGTACCAGGTTCTTTTTTGCCTACCTTTAATTGGTCTCAAGTCATTGTTGTGAATGAGATGAGTTTCCCTCAAGTTCACGCCAGGAGCATTTAGCCTTTCATACTGGAGCACAAGCCCCAACCAAAAATTGTCCCCAATCTTTTTGGTTTTGGATATTGATGCAAATTGTTGTTACAAGTTTTGTTTCATACAATGGATTTTAGGTAACTATTACCTCGTCTATATCGCTTCATCCAGTGTTTTCTGTCTTCTGTCACGGTGTGAGAAACTGCTGCATATGATTCAGTGCGTGAGTGAACTCTGAATCAAACTGAATAGCAAACAATTTCAGTCCTTTTTGCAAACTCGTTTGACCCTTCCACGAGTGATTCGATTCGTTCCGAGGCTTGTAGCAATTAACAACCAGAAAACTGCCAAATACTTCTATTAATAAATATAAGTATTAAAGAATAGAATAAATTCTATTAATTGTATTATCTGAAACAAACCTCTGGCATTTTAAAGATTTTGTTAAAATGGCTAAGGTGTACAAATACTTGTTGGGGCCACACTGTGTGATGTATTTGTGTTCAGGTGTTTACCTTTTTTTTCTGTCTCTGATAGTTTTAATGCACCTCAAAATATGTATTCTTTGCCCTTTTCTACTTTTTCTCCAGCTTAGTGTCACCACTTATGCAAAGGATCTTGATAAAGCGAAGTGTGGCCAAGGTGGAATCCCTGACCGTCAGATTCTAAAAGAGGCTCGTGCTGACCTGGAACGTGTTTTGGCTGTCCGACCCTGTTTGAGGACTCATTTGGAGATGGGTCAGGTAGTTATGAGAACACAAGATAGCGGTTACAAGTTTGGAATAATTATTAGATTTTTTAAAAATGTTTTTGAAAGAAAACTCTTATGCTAACCAGGGCTGCATTTATTTGATGAAAAATAAAGTAAAAACAGTAATATTGTGAAATATTATTACAATTTAAAATAACCGTTCTATTTGAATACACTATAATTCCTTTGACGGTAAAGCTGAATTTTCAGCATCATTACTCCAGTCTTCAGTGTCACATGATCCTTCAGAAATCATTCTAATATGCTGATGTGCTGCTCAAGAAACATTTCTTATAATCAGTGTTGAAAACAGTTGCGCTGCTTAATATTTTTGTGAAAACCTTTGGTAACAATTTATTTTACTGTGCCCTCATGTTACATGTAGTTACTGTTGTAATAACTATAAATGATGTATAATTACATTAATATATCCCTAAACCAAGCCCTAATCTTACCCTAACCCTATAAGCACATTAATTATTATTCCACAGTACTTAAATATATAATTACACTGTAACACGGATACCTTAAAATAAAGTGTAACCAAACCTTTTTTTTCAGGATTCTTTGATGAATAGAAAGACATTTATTTGAAATAGAAATCTTTTGTAACATTATAAATGTCTTTACTGACACTTTTGATCAATTTATAATAATAAGAAATGTTTCTTGAGCAACAAATCAGAATATTAGAATGATTTCTGAAGGATCCTGTGACAATTTAAAATGTCCGTTCTATTTGAATATACTTTGAATGTAATTCCTGGGATGGCAAAGTTGAATTTTCAGCTTTGCCATCACAGGATACAATATATTAAAATATAAAACAGTTACTTTAAACTGTAGCAATATTTCACAATATTGTGTTTTTGACAGAATTTTACATCAAATAAATGCAGCCTTGGTGCACATAAGATACTTTTTTAATAAACATCTTAATTATTCCAAACTTTTGACCGGTAGAGTAGTTACTAATACAGTTACTATGCAGTTTAAGAGCATAATATATCCATCTCTCCACTTCTCTCAGGTTTACTACTACATGGGTGTTGACGCCCTACAGGAGAGCCTGTTGGTCGATGAGATGGCGATAAACCAGGCCCTGGTTAGTCTAGCTAAAGCGCTGCAGTGTCCTCTCGGCTCTACAATCTCTAAACTACAGCTCCTGCGGGGTCGCTGCCTGCTGCTGAAAGGAGAGGAGCAGAACGCCATCGACTGTTTCAGGAAAGCGCTTGAACTGGAACCTCCTAGCGTCCAAAACACGATGGTCCTGCGCTGCCTGCTACAGGCCATTCTTGTGAGCTTCACCCAATGCGGGAGAGACACAGATCACACTATAATCCAATTGGAAGAATGTTTAAAGGAGGCGGAAGAGCGATATGGAATAGACGTTGTTCAGACTGAGTTAAAAGCGCTATGCCGAGCACATACGGATGAGGTGACGGAGCTCTCCAAAGATCTGATCAGGAAAGGAAGGTTGGAAGTGGTTAGAAAGTTGCTGAGGAGCGTACAGCCACAAGGGAAAAAGTTTTCACTGGGCAGGTCCATTTCTATTTAAAAGGAGCAATGGGAAGCTGACTCCAGATGTTGTGCATGTTAAGGCAGTAATTAACAATAATGCAGCTTACTATTTCAAACTAGAGGTATTCACTTCTGTTAAAGCTGAGAGATGGACAAGAGAAATGTATTGTACAATTCTAAATGTATTACTACGGTGTTAAAGATCAAAAAGTCACTTTGGAATACTGTCTTTTGGCTACGCTTTCCTCCAGCACATGCCATGAAGCGCGAAGAGCCAGTTTGACTTGAAATAAGTGTTTTAACAGTGTACTATGGGGTTCAGAAGCCTGAAAGTGCAGTCAACATTAGCAAAAAACAAATGAAAAAGACAATTGTCAATAGCGTTGGGATATATGAAGCAGAGCTAACACAGAAGTCACTTTCAAACCAAGCAGCTTTCTGTTGGTCAAATTCACGTTTAACTTGAACATGAAGGAAATCTGCATGAAGGACATTTTCGAAACTCCCAGTCACATGGATTCCCTATTGGAATGACTGGATTCTGCCCACAAAATTTCGCTGAGCAATGGTAAATGTGACCACAGCTTGAGACCACATTCAAGATCTGGGACATTTTTTCCATTTAAATCTACAAGTAAAGAAAAAGTTATAGTAAACCTCATGATTAAAATATTTAATAAATAGGCCTACTGCACTATTTCTGGGTCACTAATAAATAAGCAAATTTGTGAAATTGATCATTTGCACCTCTTAGGAACTTTCTTGAACCATGCTGGATAACATGATCAAGTTAGTTTTACACAGATTTATGGTTCATGTTGGCTTGAGTACAGCTTTTTTTTTTAAAGCAAAAGAAGATTCAAAATTGTTTCATTTAAATTATGTTGATTATATCATTTGTAACAAAAATGTCATATTAAAAAACAATCCTAAAAGCATTGGTCTCAGTCTTTTGCACACACTGTACAACCCCTGGCAATCACAGATATGACACAAAAAAGTTGTGTTCAATACCATAACATTCTGGCTTCATGAAACATACCTTAAAGGTATAGCGGAGGATCTTTCCGAATTTTAGAGAAGACCCGCCCTCTCCAATTTTTTTAAAAATGCACATGCGCAACACTCTATTTGCTACCGAGAGGGAACGCCTATTCAACTTTTACTAGCAGTGATTTTAAATGGATTTCTCCAAATAGCATGACAAACTTTACCTGTCTAGTAGAATCTTCGCGACTGCAGCATCAGTGGGAAGCCCAACCTGTGCTTTTAGCGCACGCCAGCGTGTGAAATATTCACCCAAAATCACTCTGGTCTTGTTTCTATATTCTGCGGCCTTTCTCTTCTTATCATACACTTCGTATACATTTTTTCTCTTTCGACCCTCAGCCATTTTCAAAGGAATGGCTGAAACCGTAACTCATCACACATAATACACCTGAAAGTGCGCATGCGCAGAAAGCGAAAACTACATAGGGACGAGCACGTACGACCGCCTTACGTAAACATATCACCAGAATGATTGACACTTAGGTGGACCAATAGTATATAGGCTACCCACCCGGAAAAAGAAAATCCTTTAAGCTAATAGGCCTTTATCGCATTTCCTGGTTTGGAACGTTCGAAATCGCCAAGCAGTGTACTCGCACTTCCGGTGGTTAACAGATAAACTATGGCTGCCTCCTCTCGCCGGTGCTATTGCAGTGTACCGGGTTGTTCAACATCAAAACAAAGACATAACAGCCATACCTTAGCTTCCATGACTTCCCAAAAGAAGAACACCTCCGCAAGGCTTGGGTGAGATTGATAAGGAGGGACGAAGGTCCTTCGTTTCAGAGAAGTCGGGGTAGTACGTTTGTGTGCACTGCAGCTTGCACTTTGACAAGGAAAGCATTTACGTCTCGAAAAGTGGGGGGAAGAGACTAAAATCCGGTACTACACCAAGCCGATTTTCGCGGAACAGCTGGGGGGAGACTCGTGTGCTTCGCCAGTCAGTTTTCGATCGGGTTAATGCGCGTTTTGAAGTAACGTTAGTTGAAGAGTTTCAGAATAGCGACTCTGCTATAGGCATAAGATGAATGATTCAGATTTGTTTGGTTTCATTTTATTGCATTAAAACATGACACAGCATTTATTATATATATATATATATATATATATATATATATATATATATATATATATATATATATATATATATATATAGCATGACATATATACATCTATTATAAAAAATAAAACAAATTATGTGAAAATTAATACAATAACATAACATTTATACACTAAAAAAAATCAGACACTCATATTACATTTATATACATTTAATTTACAATTAAAACAATTAATTAATCGATTAAGTACAAGTGTGTGGGAACATTTGCGTGTGTGTATGTTTGTGTGTGCGTACGTGCGCACATGCATGTGGTGGTGGTGATGATTAGAGAGTAGGTATGTCCGTTCCATAAATAAAATCAGAAAGAGATCCCATTTGTGTGTGTGGTGGGGGGGATGTATGGAGTTACTTTAGTTTCAGGTACGTTTCCATATATGTGGCAAAATAAAATATATCAAGTTTACCTTTCATTTCACTGATCAGCGACTCGTCGAGCCAAATTCGCTCTACTGTGAGGTCACTTTGTGTGGATGTAATGAAATCACACCATTTTAAACCAGTTATGGCTAACTGGCCTTGCACTTGCCAGAAATACTTGTGATTTTTTTTTAGTTTGGCCTGACCACCAATAAACTTCACATGTGTAACCTGTTATACTGTTAACATCTGGGCATTTAACTTCAGCTAACCCAAAGGGTGGATTTGCAGTGGGATCATACACTTTGGCATCAGGGCTAGCACCGAGGTAAGGCGCATCAGGATTCACAACGAATCCAGAAGGAGCGACACTGACATTGCAACGGTCACTGTACTGTTGTAAAACTTCTGGCTCAAGGTCAATACCCCTTTTCATGGCAGGTGTTTGCCTTACCCCCTTTATGATCCTGGCTGCCAGAGCCTGACTAGATGACTCCCCTCTAACGCTACAAACTTCGCCGAATCTACTGGAAGTTAGGCGGGGCTGTCGGACTTCCTTCCACAAAGGATTCTCCGACTGCCCCCTTGTATTCTCTTCGATGATACTTGCACATTCACGGGTTAGTTCTAAACTCTGTATGTGATAAAACTGATGACAATTGGGGACAAAATGTAGATGCCGTTCTAATGTTAAGCCACTAATTAATGGAAGTTGTGGGAATGAGGGAGCTTCTGGATGCTTAATGATTTCTCGAGGTATTACTGGTGTGCACTGTGCACTGATAAGAAAGAACTGAACCTCGAGGGACTAGTAGAAATTTAGAGTCCACTAAAGTCAGTTCAGAGAGGCCGTATAAGAATTTGCAAATGCCAGGTTGTGGCTGATGGTTGCGTAGTTGGGCTCCAACTGACAACACCGTCGGGTCAGGAAGGGGTCCTAAAAACACAAGTAACAGAAACCATTCATCAGTTAATAACTGCCAATGATTTACAAGCGACAGTGTAGCTAATCTGATATAAAGAACTAACTGTATGTTCTCATTTAAAAATTGCTGATGTTATCGGACTTTCAGCAATAGTAATAATAATGAATAATCGGATTCAGGTTTAATCATAACATAGTACAGACATTATCTTAATTCCATAATGTGCTTAAACAACAATATTGCTGGCCATAAACTGAGAAAGTACACATCTGGTGTGTGATACCTCGAGTTGTCCTAGACGCGGCGCTAAGGATGTTTACGTTATATCTTCAACTAGTTGAAATGTTCCTCCTGTAAATATATTTCCCTTTCAAATGCGCATTCTGATTAATACATACATTTATTTCCAAACTAACCGGACGAAGTCCAGTGCTCGCCTTCTCATTAACAGCGTTTTTTTCTTACTGATATTTCATACTGAATTTACAATCCTAAACTTTGAATTTCATTGCAGCAAGAAAGCAGCATTGGTACATCAAATGTGTGTAAATACTTTACTAACCTAACACTAGATATTGTTGAAAACGAAAGTAAAAGCATGACGCACGCTCACTACCGGAAATGAGAGTCCAGTATCTTTATTAAAATCATTAAAAAAAAAAAAAATTCATTTATTTATTTAAACATATTAATGATGTAGCTAATTCACCCGCAGTTAGTTGGAATATTATTTTGTATTACTTGGATCTGCGCATCACTAAAGCACAGATGTGAATTTATAGCTTTTTTCCTTTTCATCCTAAATGATGATGTAACTGCGGGCTGTTTACACCAGGGCACTTCATGTGTTTCTGTGATCTGATAGCTATATCCGATCGTGAAAAGACCAGGTGTAAATGCCCTCCGAAACGCACTCGAGACGGATTTAAATCCGATCGCTCAAACCGCTTCAGGAGGAGGTCTGGGCCGCTTAACAGACGAAAGTGGACAAGTGTAAATGCATCTGGTTGTTGAAACCACATTTGTAAATTGGACTTCTCCCAACAATGCTAAAAATAAACGTGTGAGAGCGTATTATAGCGATGAAGCTATGGCAACACGCATCGCCGCAGATGAGCAGCTCGAGCATCTATTCATCAAGCCAACAACGTGCAAACTATCGCAAATCAAAGTGAAAGTAAGTCGCAGACGCTTAACCACTGATCTATATAATGTCATTCTATATAGATCAGTGCGCTTAACACACAATCATCTTCATTAAAAGTAAAGAAACAGAAATTATCTTACCAGTGCTGTCTCTCTTATTGCGGTCTTTGATTTTGAAATTAGCTGATGATCAATAAAATGCAGCTCATTATTGTTGCTTTCGGTGACGTGAACTGACGTGACGTTAAATCGATAGCGCGTTGTTTGAAGATCGGATTTATATCTGTTTTGCGAAAACATATTTATGTGACCAGGTGTAGGCTAAATAGCATCGTTTTGATAAATCAGATCAGTAAAAAAACCATGAAGTGACCAGGTGTAAACGGCCCCATTATGAGCTGTCTGTCAGCATCTGTATAATTTTCTGTTAATTAATTGCAAATTGTGGCATGTTGCAAAGCAGTCCCATCTCTTGTTTTTATGAATGACGTCATCGACTAGTCGACGTCGACTCGACTTTGATGTCATAACAGTCGACTAAAAAAATCTGAAGTCGTTCAACCCCTAATTCATCAGTGCTCACACACTGCAGCGTTGTGGTCACTATTTAGACGAGCACTGACGTGGGGTGAAATTTTCACGCATGTTTAAGAGCCATGGCTTATGTTAGATTAAAAACCTACAAGTTCCTTTGAGTTTGAAAAATCATGTACACAGTAATCATCAAAAAATCTCTTCTCCTGTCTCTTAAAATGAACACCCGCAGGATGAT